GCCCATCCCGGCCTCCTGTGCGGCGCCCCCGCCCCGGATCTGCAGCTCGCCCCTGTCCCTCTCGCCCTTGCTCCTTCTTGAGATTGGACCTCAGCGTCCCGACCCAGGGCCCGAGTGTGGACCAGGCAGCCCCGAAGATCCCTGAGACGGCTGGCTCCGTGGGCCCCAACTGGGGAGCCGATTCTGCCGGGGCCTCTGCTGTCCCGTGGTTTAGTTTCCCCTCTGGCACAGGGCAGATTGGCTCAGCCAGAGTTGGGAACCTCGCTGGGACCTGCACCCAGGCTTCCCAGCCCAAATGAGGGTCTGCAGCCCCAAGTCCCAAAGGAAGGAGCAAGGCCAGGCAGGCTTGGCCACCCTGGGGAGCTTGGGCATTTCCTTACCTTTCTTTGTCTTTCTTTTTTTTTTTAATCCAAAAGCCAGCAGATAGCTTTTTAAAGAGTAATAAGGCTTTGCTCACTTCAGTGCCCCAGCCCATGACCCGGGATAGAGAAAATTCCTGTCTCCTTCAAAGCTTGGTCAAGGCTGACCGGTCCTGGACAAATAGACACGGGAGCTGAGAAGGTGCCCTGGCCGGGTGGGGGCTGCTCTTGGACCTTGCACCCCTCCCAGCTGGAACATTTGCATCTCTTGCAGTTCTGTTGTTCGCCACGGGTCCTGATTCCATTTTGCCTTTTCTGACCCTAATCCTGAGCAAGGGTGTGCACACCTGTCTGGTTAGGTTTGATGCTGGTCGATCGAGGCTCTGGAGGGGCTCTGCTTGGCGAAAGGAGTTTAAAATAGACTTGCTGACTGGCGCTCTGGGCCTGAGCATCCCTCCGCCTTGCAGGCGGGCCTCAGGGTGCACGCTGCCCGGTAGGGCACCATCCGATTCAGAGCCCAGACATCAGTAAAAGGTGATGAGAGTGTCTGCCTGCTCCCTTCTCTGGTCTCAGCTCCCTGGCTGTGAGGCCTCAAGGAAGGCACTTGGCACAAGGTCAAGCTCACAGCGTGCCCTTCCAGGGAGGCTGGGCAGGCCGGTGTGGGCTCCAGACCACTCAGTGTGTTGCCGTCCGGTAGCTGAGTGGCCTTGGGTGAGTCACAGCCATGCTGAGCCTCAGACCGCCTCATCTGAGGAAGGGGTCTTAGAGTTATAACTAACAATGCGTTTGGCTGTTGTCAGGCTCAAGCGCAGACCTGTAATAGCACTTGGGAGGCTGTGGTGGGAGGATTCCCATGAGCTCAAGGCCTGCCTGGGCTACTTAACAAGACCCTGTCTCAAAAAAGAAAAAAAAAAAAAGAAAAGAAAAGAAAAGAAAAGAAAAGAAAGAAATGTCTTCGGTGTCCTTCCTGAGACAGTCTGTACTTGTGCAGATCAGAGGTGTGTGTGTATGTGTGTGTTTTTCTCTTCCCAGCACACTTGCATGATTATTGTATTCTATGCTGTGTCCTCCACTTTTTTTGGCATAAAGTCAGAAAGAGTATAGAGATTGTTCTTGGCCCATCAGGGATCCTCCTTCGTCTTCCCATGGCTGTGTAGAGTAGAAGGTGAACGTCTTAGGCCAGGTTTGCCCTCCAAGACTGGGCTGCAGTGTCTTACACCATTCTATCCCACACTTGTGGGCTACCTGTCCTGCCTTTGCATGGCTGGGGTGACCCAGAAAGTCACTTACACTCCTGAGAAACTATCTTCCTCCAAGTCTGATTTTTGTCTTCCTGCAGCCCCCCACCCAGTGACCCAGCAGCGGGTAGTTTCACTGTAGGACAGGTGAGTCCCCAGCTGTGCCCAGCTCACCTCCTGTCCGGGTCTCTCCCAACAGTGGCCACTGCCTCAGAGGACGATGCAAATCACAGCTCCAACTCCACCTACAGAGCCACTGGCAGCCTGCTGAGGGCCGACCAGGAGGCGCTGCTCAGGAAGCAGCTGGACCGCCCGCCACCCAACCGCTGCAACGCCACCTACGCCATCTTCTTCAGCCTGGGCATCGGCGGCCTGCTGCCATTTAACTTCTTCGTCACCGCCAAGGAGTACTGGGCCTTCAAGCTCCACAACTGCTCCGGCCCAGCCTCGAGGAGGGACCCTGAGGACTCTGACATCCTGGTAAGGGCTGAGCACTGGACGTGTTTCAGAAAACTCTGAAAACTCTGAAAGAGCTGTGGCTAACACTAGACAGAAGGTCATTTTTCTTTCTCAAGACTGAAGTGGCTGGCCTACAGTTGCTATGATGCTCTACAGGGTCAGAAACATAGTTGCTTCACTGTGTGTAACTCTCCTGTCCAGGGTCACCTCATAGACTAAGTTGGCTGTAGGAGCTCCAGCCATTACATCAGTAGGAAGAAGGAAATGCCAGTTGTTTTTAAGAACACTTCCTAGAAATAACACGTTGCTACTGTTTACACTGCATTGCTCAGAACTCTGCAATGCATTGGAGGCTGAGAAGTATAATCTTTAAGTGTGATTTTATTCCACGTGCCCACTTAAGCAGAGGTTCTGTCATTAGAGACAAGAATGCCCACGTCCATTTTCTGTGGCCACTAACACAATCCCACAGTGACCTGTGATAATACTGGGTGACCTACAACGAGAGGAGACTTATTTTGGTTCATGGTGCTGGGGGTGCCAAGTGACAGGCTACATCTGGTGACGGCCTTGCTGCAGTCCCCAGATGGCAGAGGGCACCACATGGCCAGACAGGGAGAATGTGTGTATATGAGTCTGGTCTTAGGAAGTCACTGGGACTCAATCCTGGGGCTCTGCCCTCATGGCACTGTCTGGTCCTAGTCACCCGCAAGGTCCCCGCTCTGAATGCCACAGTCGGATTACGCTTCTCATCTTGATCCCTCAAGGCGGGGATTACGTTTCAACACAGGAAGCCTTGGGGACACTCCAAACCTAGCCCAGGGGAAAAATGTAGTCTTGGAGACAAATAGTCTGGTGCCAAAGGAGAGGTCTCTCTGACTCGCACTGGCTGGATGCAAATAGCAGGGAGAACTTCGAGCGCACGGGACCAGCGGCAGAGCAGGCTGTGGGTGCCCTGTGTACTGGCGGTTAAGGTGGTCACAGGGACACCCTCAGGACTGTCACCTGGACCTCGCACATCCAGCAGAGGCATCTGGATTGTGTTTGGTGGTGTGGCACAGAGCCTCCCCCACAGCTGCCGACTTTGCCAGTGACTTTTTCCAGGGGGGCAGGGTGAGGTAAGGAAAAAGTTAATTCAGTCACTTGTTAGAACTACAAGGGGAACTTTAAGATGGTTGCAGTAGGGGTGAGAAGGAGCTCAGCTCTGCAAAGGCCGGTGGGGGATGTTCAGCCCGGGAGCAAGGCAGGGTTCAGAGGGTAGAAAATTGATCCTCTCTCTCTCACTCTTTCTTTTTGTGGGTGTTGTAGAATGAATCCAGGGCCTTTGCACTGAGCTCTCTTCCCAGCCTTTTTTATTTTTCAAGAGAGAGTCTCACTAAGTTACCCAGCGAAGGCTCAAGCTTGTGATGCTCCTACCTCAGCCTCCCAGAATTCTGGGATTACAGTCATGCGCCACCACATTCAGATTAAAATGGGTATTTCTAAAACTTCTGCTCCCCACATTCCACCCCGGATCCCACAGTTCTGACACCCTTCCTGGCCTCCTCTGCCATTCTGGGAATTCACAGATGCCCCAGAGTCTCATTTGTGTGGCAAAGACATCCCTAGGAGGGGAGTCCAGTGGTTAGAGCCCTGCTACTCTGGTGTGGTCCGCGGGCCAGGAGCACCGGGAGCTCGTTGGTGACGCCAGCCCAGTGCCACCCAGCCTGTCTGGGCTCCTGTGCTCCCGGGACCGATGGGCTCGATGGACTTTGAGAAGCACAGCCTGGGGGAGCCCCTGGGTCTGCATCCTGCCTGGCTCAGCCCTGGGCTCAGTGGCTCTGTGCTGCCTCGCTTTCCTAGTTCTAAGAGGACAGCACTGCTGCCACCTTCTGATCAGGGTTGTTGTGACAATGGCATCCAGTCCCATGTGTCACAGGCTGCTGTATAGACGTCACCGTCATTTGGGGGAGGGGTTTTGAGTCCGAGTCTCACCATGTAGTTTAGGCTGGCCTTGAACACGTTGGCGTCAAACTCATGACAGTCCTTCTGTGTCACCTTCCTGGGGCTGGAATTACAGGTGTGTGCCAACATTATGGCCATGATCCTCCAGGGCCCCGCCCACAGTCTCCACCACTCACTGCCCATGCGGATTTCCAGAGGCACCTGCTTCGCTGGGCTGCTTTACTACTCTTTTAATTACTGGGGACTCAGGCGTCCCAGCTTTGGGCCGCCCAGCGGGCTTCCTGCAGAAAGTCACCGCCTGTCCAGCGAGCCAGCCTGGGGTAGCTTGTGTGTGCACCTGTCCTGGCCGGCTTCCAGCGGTCACCCCGTCCCTGGGCAGAGGCTTTGCAGGAGGATGAGCCAGCCGGCATGGCCGACGTGGTCCCGGTGCTGCCCTCGTTGCCAGGGAACTCGCAGGGCCATCCTCCCAGCTGCAGGCACTTGGCATTCCCGGCCCTGCCACGATGCTTTATTGCCTCTTCCCAAGTGCTGGCAGGTGCGGATGTAGTACCTGCGGCTGCCCGGAGCTCCTGGCTCTTGGCATCAGAGATGAGAGACCTGTCACCCCTCGATTCATGGGCCGGCTCCGGGAAGCAAGCATGCTGGGCGTTGTGCATTTTGCAGGCCATTTTTCTTTGCCTCATTCCTCACGCCTGCCACCGCCGCCCCCACCCGGTGCTTCCCCCTCTTCCAGATTTCCCCCCACGTGGTGCGGCTCGGCCCTGCATCCTGAGGACCCCTGTGGAGGGAGGAGCAGGAGAGTCAAATGGGACTGTCTCCTGCGGCCACCTGCAGCTCCATTAGCCAAGCAGCCACTGGTTTGTTTCCCCACTTTCCTTTTGATATTTTGCTGGGCTGGAAACCACTGTTGGAGATTCTGGCCCAGCAGGAAGTTTGAACAGAACCTCCCCCACATTCCAAATGATGTCACTTCCAGGGTCACCTCCCACCCCGCTTGGTTTCCTTCTGCCTAGAACAGATTCAGGGATGGTTTAGAAAGCACCCTCTTGCTGGGCTTTCTCATCTCTGTTTTCTGGAATGAGAGCCTCAAATAAACCCACCACAGGCTGTTGGCCCAGATCCAAAAAATTAGAGCATAAAAGAGGAAGACGTGACATCAACGGATAGTGCAGGCAGCTGCCATTTCCTGGGCCAGTGTGAAGGCAGAGGTATGATACCTTTCATTAGTCCTGAAAGGCAAGAATCCTTTTCTTGGAGACAAAAAGCCAGAGGCTCAGAGAGGTTAAGTAACCTGCCCAAGATCACACGGCTAGGAAGGGCTGCAGAGAATTTCATGGAGGATGTAAGCACATAGATGGTGACAGAGGTGATCATGCTCAGAAAGCAGTGTGTAGGGGACTGTCCTGGGGACAGGGAGCACCCTACATCCTGACTCCACCAGTGTTTCCTCTGTGGAGAGCATGTCCTTGGTCTGGCCTGATCTTCTATCCTGCAACCCCACATGCCTGATCTTGGCCGCTGGGCAGCAAACTGACAGTGTCTCTTGTCCCTCCCTGTGCCTGTGCCTGAGCCCCACCCCTACCCCTGCCTCCTCCTGCATGGCCCCTGCCATGCATGCCTCAGTGCCTCCTGTAGGCTATCCCTGCTCCCTTCCGCCAAGACAGCACAGGGAGCTGGGCAGGAGGGTGATAGTGCCTCCCAGGGCTCCCACATTCCTCTCTGTGCATTGGGAGCTCCTTGCTGGGTCCCCAGAGCCCTGTGTGTCCACCAAGTCCTCAGCTCATGGCCATGGGTGTTGTGCACCGGCAGGGCAGCCATTGCTCCCTATACTTGGCCTGCTGTAGCACACCAGGCCTTGCAGCCCTCAGTAAGGCGCCAACTTCAGATCCCAGATGACACAGAGGACGCCTCCCCCATAAACTGCTAGCTCTCAGGAGACAGAGTACAGCTCTTACTGAACAGCCCTGTGCCCCTGGCACACCGGGCATGGTGCCCAGCACATAGCAGCACATCACAAATGTGTGTGGCACTGGTTATCACAGGCTGTGGAGGAAGCCTCATATTACTCCAGTCTGAGATAAGGATAGCACGGCTCTGTACGGAGCTGGAGGAGACCTGGGGTCACAGTGACCACCGCCAAAGAAGTTCTGCTCTTTTAGGCGGACTGGCATAGACATAAAGTGGGGCTCCTGCCATAGGAAGGAGGTCAGGTCGGCCTGACCCAGCAGGTGGGGAGACTGAGAGCTGCTCTTCCCTGTGTTTACAGCCCGTGGTCTGGCTCCATCCCTCTGCCCCTGGAAGAGGCAGCTAGTGCGGCCGTCTGTGTGACAAATGGTAGGCGTTGCAATCCAGAGAAGAAGCGCTAACAGTAACCAGAATGAACTAGTGTGGCGGAGAGGAAGTGAAAGAGGGGTCATCAGAGGGCTCGTCAGTGATCTGCTGACGTTCCCAAGTCCCTGCTACACGCAGCCAGTATCCACCCACCTCTTGGTGGTCTGATGAATCGCTTTCCCAATTTCCAGATGGGGAAACTGAAGCACACCCCAAGTCCTTTGCTAGCACATGGCACAGAGACATTTGGCCCAAGCTGAGTTGGCAGAGCCCGTGCTGGTAACCGACATGCTCCAGTCTGTCCCTCCACCCTGTCCCTCCGCCCTGGTGTCCTCAGCCCTGGCTGCACACACACTGGTGTCACCTGGGGAGCTTTTTAAACAAGCTACCCGCCCTCCCAGCCAATTCTCACATGGTCAGGCTGAGAAGGGGCTGGGTGCAGGAGTGTCCAAGCTCTGTCTGTGAGGCTCCCACGCAGCCTCACACAGCCACTGGGGAGCCCCTGGGCCGGTCACCCCATCTGCGGTGGGGGGGGCGGGCGCTTTGGCTACATCATAAGAGACCGGCGAGCCTTCTGAAGAGTTTCCTGTGGTACAGGTCCGTTGTTCAACCTAGCATTGGAGGCAAGCTTCTGCCTGGGGGAATCGGAGGGGCCACCCTGCCAGGAAATGGGCTCGTCTCAGCAGAGCAGGGTGCTCTTGGAATGTAAGTGACCCAGGGGGATGGTTTGATGTGTGGCTTGATGA